TTTATTCATACGTATTCATCACCCTCATCGAAACAATTAGCGTCTAACCGCTTAAGAACTCGCCAACAACGACATGATGAAGCTGCTATCGAATATTATACCGATGTTATGAAATTATGCAGATTAGTTGATCCAACCATGGCTGATGCATCCAAACTTGATCTTGGGGTGGGTATGAGTGTGGGTGTGAGCGTAGGTGGGTGTGGGTGTGGGTGTGATGTGAGTGTGAGTATGAGTGTGTTATACAAATAATACATCCACCAATCCGTATCAACACCCACACGCACGCGACATTCACAACCACCCCCACACAGGCCCACACCCAAATTACGAACAGCAAAAAAATTATATTTAAAATAAATATAAATTATAAGTATTTTATATTTATTACAAGTGTAAATTTTTTTGTTGTTAAGATTTATCTTTACGAACAAATGTAAATTATCATAATTTACATTTATTTGTATATGTAAATCTTGCAACAAAAAAATTTACATTTGTAATAAAAATAAATTATGAGTAGTTTATATTTATTATATATAAAACGGTAAATGACACCCCTATCTCATGACTAAATCGATAGAGAAAAAAAACTAACGAAAAAGTGTTTGTCGACAAAAGTAAAACACATGTCTGATTTATTCGCAACTATATGATGGAATCAGTAGGTTTAACAGAATCTACTACATCAAGTGAACCAACTGGTAACGATAGATCCCATCATCGACGATTTTTATCTCTTGAGAATCCTGTTCTCACCTGGTTAGATGGTACCATCAATGAATCTGATGAAAATGCGTCAAACTTTATTACTGAACTTCAACATACCGTTCATTCAGTGAAAATGTTTACTGATTCTGATCAATGTGTTGATTTCATTACGAACATCGAAAATGAAAAGATCTTTATGATCATTTCGGGAACTTACAATGAACAACTTCTATCTATCATTGACGATTTGACACAAGTGGATTCTATTTATGTATTTGATAATCAGAATCCTATCGATCAACAATGGATTCAAGAATATAAAAAAGTTAGAGGAATATTTACTCAAATTGAATCAATTTGCAGAGAACTGACAATTGGTATTTATCGATTCAACAATAATTTAATTCCACTAAGTATTTTGACAATAACTTCCAGCACCAATCTAGATGAACTTGATCCATCGTTTATGTACTCGCAATTATTAAAAGAAACACTTTTCGATATGCCACGTGGTGAAGAAGCAAAACAAGCTTTCGTAGACTTCTGTCATACTCAATATGCTGACAACAGCAAAAGAATGCAAACTATTGATGAATTCGATGAATATTATTCTGAACCAACACCTATCTTTTGGTATACTCGAGATACTTTTCTCTATGAGTTGTTAAATAATGCCCTCAGAACACAAGAAATCGAGGTGATACTAAAGATGGGCTTTTTTCTTCGCGATGTGCATGAACAGTTCGAACAACTGCATTCTAAAGCTGTTCATTCTAATCCTCTAACGATTTATCGAGGTCAAGGTATTACTATAGCTGAATTTGAGAAGATTCAGAAGTCCAAAAATGGTCTTCTTTCCTTTAATAATTTTCTTTCAACAAGTGCAAAACGAAATGTGGGACATTTTTATGCCGATAGTAATTGTAAGAATCCTGATCTTGTCGCAGTTCTGTTTCAAATCGATATTGATTCATCCATCACAATAGCTTCATTTGGATCAATCAACGATATTAGTGCTTTTGATAAAACAGAAGACGAAATTTTGTTTTCTATGCACACGGTCTTTCGTATTGGTGAAGTTCAATTAATAGAAGACCGATTATGGCAAATTAATCTTACTTTAACAGATGATAAAGATGAACAACTCGCACGTCTGACCGAATATATTCGAGAAGAAACTAAAGGTACATCCATATTGCATCGCATGAGTTTGCTAATGATTAAACTGGGTAATTTTGACAAAGCGGAAGAAATTTCTACTACACTTATCAACACAACACCTGATGATCAACTGGAGATACTCTCGACATTCATGAATCAGCTTGGATACATTCATTCCAGTAAAGATGACACAACTAATGCACTTTCCTGCTATGAAAAAGCACTAGTACTGAAACGAAAATCACTTCCTGCTGATCATCCATCAGTGTCAACCACCTACAGTAACATTGGTTTTGCCTATGATTCGATGGGAGACTATTTAACTGCCATTTCATATTACAGAAAAGCCCTTGCAATTTCTCCGTCGAACCAATTAACATTAGCTGCCATCTATAGTAATATGGGTTCCACATATGCATCGATGGGGGAGTATCTCGATAGTCTTTCATGTTATGAAAAAACATTGGAAATTAAACAGAAATATTTTCCAGAAAATCATCCAGATTTGATGATTCCATATAGTAATATTGCGTTCATCTATAATAAAATGGGACAATTTTCCAGTACACTTACTTACTTTCAGAAAATACTTGAAATGATGCAAAAATCTTTACCCCCTGATCATCCAGATATGGCAACGGCTTACAATAATATTGGCGAAGCACATCTATGTATGGGTGTTTACTCAGTAGCGCTTTCATATTTGCAGAAAGCACTTGATATTAGACAAAAACATCTTCATTCTAATAATCCAGCTATTGCTACTGTTTACCATAATATTGCTCAAGTGTACCGATCAATGGATGAACGTTCCAAAGCACTTTTCTATTTTGAAAAGACAGTTGAAATCAGACAAAAATCTCTTCCATCAAATCATCCTGAACTCGGTGTCGCTTACAATAGCGTTGGAACCATTCATCACTCCATGCGAGCTTATTCAACAGCACTTTCATACTACGATAAAACAGTTGATATCATGCACAGATCTCGACTAATTAATTCACTAGAACTAGCTATTACGTATAATAATATAGCTTTTGTCTATTATTCTACAAAAGACTTTTCAATGGCACTTACCTACTATAACAGGGCACTTCTAATCATGCAGACATCACTTTCATTCGATCATTCATCTTTGGCTGATATTTATGCTAACATTAGTACAGTGTATACTTTAAAAGGACAGCCTACAATGGCACTCTCATATCTACAGAAGACGCTAGCTATTAAACAAAAAATACTTCCATCAAATCATTCAAATTTTGCTGTCATTTATACTGCTATGAGCGTAGCCTATACTGCAAAACAAGAACATAGCATAGCGCTTTCATATTTCCAGAAGACACTTGAAATTCAACAGAATTCTCTCTCAGCTGATCATCCAGACTTAGCTCACACGTACAATAATATTGGACTAGTCTATCATTCCAAAAGACAAATTGAAACAGCATTATCATACTTTCAAAAAGCCCTCGAAATTCAACAAAAATCACTTCCCACCAATCATCCAGCTCTCACCATCACATATGACAATTTCAGTTTAGCTCATTATTCAAAGTGTGAATATACTATTCGACTCTCCTATTTACACAAGATACTAGAAATCAAACAGCGATCCCTTTCGCTCAATCATCCAGATCTGGCTGCTATCAACAACGATATTGGTGAAACTTATCAATTAGCTGGTGATTGTTCCGGAGCACTTTCTTACTATACAAAAGCTTTAGAAATTCAAGAAAAAGCGTTTCCAATCAATCATCTTGCTTTTGCTACTACCTATGAACATATAGGTTCATTGAACCAATCACTGAAAAATTATTCGACAGCACTTTCGTTCTATCACAAAGCCCTTGACATCCAAAGAAAATGTCTTTCACCCAATCATCTAGTCTTAGCTAATACAAACAATCGAATAGCTTCACTCTACAATGAACAAGGCGATTTGAAAACGGCACTCTCCTACTTACATAAAACTCTCGAAATATATGAAAAATGTCTTCCGCCCACCAATCACATTTTGGTTCTGACATACAACAATGTTGGTTCCAGTCATCGATTGTTAAAGGAATATGCAATAGCACTTCCTTATTTTGAGAAAGTACTAGACATTCAACAGAAAACTCTTTCAGAAGATCATCCATTGCTGGCTGTTGCCTATACTAATCTTGCTGATATACATCGATTATTACGTGATTATTCATCTGCAATTACTTACTATAAGAAAGTACTTGTAATTAAGGAAAAATCATTACCGGAAAATCACTTAGATTTGGCAACTATATATTATAATATGGGCTTAATGTTTGATTTTAAAAAGGAGTATAGAACAGCATTGTCCCAATTTGAGAAATCATTGAAAATTAGAGAAGTGTCTATTCCACCCAATGAAACATTATTGAGTTTAACTTATGGAAAAATTGCAAATACATATCGATCATTAGGGGAATATTCATCAGCCCTTTCTTACAATGAAAAAACGCTCACCATACAAGAAAGAATCCTTTCAGATAATCATCCAGATCTTGCAACGACCTACAATAATTTGGGTTTGGTTTATAATTCAAGACAAGAATATCGAATGGCACTTTCACACTATCAAAAGTCATTGGACATCAGAAGAAAATCTTCAACATCGAATGATTCATTGTTAGTTATTGCCTACAATAATATTGCTGATATACATCGATTGTTAGAAGAATATCCAATCGCTCTTTCTTACTTTGAACAGAAACTCAAAATCCAGCAGAAATCTCTTCCAGAGAATCATTCAAACCTGGCAGTCACCTATAATAGCATCGGTTTAATGTACAATGAAATGAGCGATTCAACTATGGCTCTGTCATATTATCAGAAAGCTCTGGAAATAAGAGAGCACTCTCTTCCATCAAACCATCCACTGTTGGTTGTTACCTATAACAATGTTGCCGATACACATCGATTGTTAGGTGAATATTCAATAGCATTGAATTACTGCTAAAAGGCACTCACTATTCAACGAGAAATTCTTCCATCCAACCATCCAGATGTAGCAATGATTTACACTAGTATGGGTCTAATTTATAATTCAAAAGAAGAATATAAAACAGCACTGGCATACTTTCAAAAGTCATTGACAATCGTCGAGATCTCTGTTCCATCCGATAGTTCCTTATTAGGTCTTAACTACAGTAATATCGCTAATACATATCAATTATTAGGTGATTATGAAATGGCCTTTTCTTACTTCGACAAAACACTTGAAATGCAGCAGCAATTTCTTCCAAAAGATCATCTATCATTGCTTACTACGTACAGAAAAATGTCAGAAGTATCTGATCATCTCAAGAAGTATGACAAAGCAAAGGAGTATAGTGAACAAGCTTGTAACATTGCTCGTCGAGCCTTTGGCTCTACACATGAATCTGTAAAATAGATTGAAGATTATCTTCATTCTCTTCAAAAAGATTTTAAACATATTCAAGGCAATTCGATTTTTTGAAAAAAAAACTTTCTTTACTACACAGTTTGATGAACAGTCATTTAGAGACAGATGCACTCTGTAGATGTGCGTGTGGATATGGGGGTGGTGTGAATGTGAGTGGGAGGGTGTTGTAGCATGTAAAGAGAATACTAATACCCGTACGCAAACGCACATCCACACTTTAACCGCGTAAAAATGATTCGAATTGGTTTTTGTTTTATCATGAAATCAAAGTGTAGAATGCAAGACTCATCGATTTTAATTGATTTCTAATCTAATTGTGCCATATTTCTTTTAAAAATTATATATAGGGGTTCCAATTTCTCTATAGTTGAGTGAGTTGGTTCAATGGTAACTATGTAGTTTGTAAACATGAGCAATTGAAATAATCAAGAAATGGTATAGGCTTCGTGTTGCAATCTCGAGAAAACCATTTAACTTCGAGAGTGTAGACATGCATGAAGAAAAGATCAACGTCCACCTACATCCTTCTAGAACAACTTAAACAACATCAGTTATTGACAATAAATGATCTCTAGCTCAATCAATTGATACTGGCGAAAGAGATAGAGATGTTGAAACCATTAATTGGACAACCTGTTTCGATGAAATCAATTCTTTCCACTAATGTTGTTCGCCAATTACCTTTATTTCTTCTCGGCGACCCCAATGAGTCACATGATTTATTGAGAGTGTTATTTGAAATTAATTTTAATCCTCGAGTTCTCACAATGAAATCATTCGCTAACAGTACGTCCCTCAGTTATTTTGGCGAAGAAAAAACAAACACTAATTATTCTAGATCCTATTTTTCGTCAGGAAAATATTTATACAGATGAAACTCACATTAGGATTATTTAAATGATTTTATGAAAGAACAATATTGGCATGGAGAAGCACGTCTTCTATCATGGATGATACGCTGTGGAGAATGGGAAAATTTGATAATGCTGGTAACTACTATCATCGCACGTTAAGTGAACTACACTAGATCATCAAGATATTGTTTTTTGCTATTGCACACTCGGATTAGTAGCACTGAACAAAAGACGATTTTAGTTTGATTCTTGATTGACATAATAAATCTGTGGAAACGAAAATGAGAACGTTAGTAGTATTCCAGTTGTTTATGAACAGAAAGATGATAGAAAACGACCACTGGGATCCTATGGTAAAGCATTGACTATTTGTCTACGAATAAATCGCAAAGAGGGCACCCAAATGTTCAAATCTTTTTAAATAGATACGACAAATATCTACAATGAAGGCAAAGATTACTCAGAAACACTCAGATGTTAGTATATGGAATGAAATATATTTGAAAACCATTATCTCGCCGATCATTCTGACCTTGGCATAGCGTATAACAGCGTTGGAAGTATATATGATTCTTGATATGAATACGATCTTGCCTTTGAATATTTTAATTTATCTGTAAAAATTTATTGCCATAATATTAGAAAATTTAGATCTTGCTTATGAAAACAAAAATGACTTAAAACAAGCACTCACATTTTATAAAGAAGCAGAAAATAATCTTTTGGCATTCCTTATTTCCTAAACATTGTTGTGTTATCGAAATCGAAAAAGGCATTCAACGTATTTTGTCAGACATAAATTAATCCTCTTCTTCTTTTGTTTGCAAACCTCTTATCAACGAATACATTTTATATATAAGACATGTTTATTGCTTGTTTGGAAATGTTTTCGTCAATAGAATTTTCTATTAGAAAAAATGTGAATATGAATCATTTTTAGCCACATTGATAATCATGAGAAAATTCACTTCGATATTCATAAGCTTCAATTCGATTAATAATAAGAGATTAATATGAGCTCTCAAGGTACATCGAATCAGAATTGATAACTACGATGTGTAAAACAAAATAGAAAACAAACAGACACAATTCTAAAAAAAAACAATTATTCCACGTTGATTTTCACAGATATAAGTATTTTGTCAAGATATTTACTCGTTCTAGTATTTTTGTTGTAATTTATTTCCATAGATAGAAAAATAAAATATACCCAAGAATCATTTCTGTAGAGGAAACTCAATCATTCGTTCAGTCAGACTAATGACGGGTTGGATGGATTGTTTTCGAATATGATCGAATACATTTTTTATCTTCATTGTTGATTTCTACTTGTATTTAGCCAGCACATATGGCATATAGTCGTACTTTTCGCAATATTCTTGAATATGTGGATATTTGAAAGAACGAAAGAATACAATGACATTCACTTATACCCACATTTTATTATGTGTATTTATCCGTAGAATTTAAATTCGAACGATTTCATCACAATAAATTTTTATTATAGAATATTTTAAAAATTATATATTTATTAAGTTTTATGTACTCCATATTCGTATTGTTCAATCAACATCTGTTGTCTTTTTTTAACAGTTGTCAATTGTTCACGCACCATAGGATATTCACTGATAACTTTGATCAACTTATATAAAGCCGGTAGATCACATTTTGATTCGTTTGATTCTATTTTACGCATACATTCTTCATATTGATTTTTAAGCTTCGACAACTCCAAAACTAATTCTTTATTTAAACCAGTTGATTTTTGAATTTCACAAATATATTTTTCTTCAATGATCATTTCTTGTAAATCATTGTAAAAACGGTCATATTTTGTAGAACATGTCGTATGAATAAGAAAATAGGCAAAATGGGCACTCATCTGGCATAATCTATTAAGTGTATTGCTTGTCTTGTTTCGACAATCAATCGAAGTCGTATTTGTCTATCTATAATTAAGAGTATAATCAATTGGAACATGTTTATCGACAGGACACGAACATGTGGTACATCCATTTCGAATTTCATGTATATCAGTAGAACAAATATAAAATTTACCCATTTGTTTAAGTTCTCCTTTACAAGAATGACAACGAGTAGCTGTTAAATGAAGAGGTATCGAATATAATTCAATGTACTCATTCATTTGATCACTTTTATATAGGAGAAAATTTCTCAAGATATTTCTCATCGTTTCTAATATTGGTCGAATCATGCAAGTTATTTCGAATTGAGCGTGTTTGATCGATTGCCATTCATTCTCTATATGATAGACAATAAGTTTGTTCTCAATATAATCAATCAAACGATTTGATTCTTTTACTGATTTTGACCAACTCATTTGATATTTTTGTTCTTGCTCATGAGTGAACTCAATTTCATTTCATAAAGCAACCAAATATTGAAATGATTTACTATCGAAACAAAATGTATTCTCTTTTTTAAAACTTATATCATTCGTCGACAATGATGCCAGCATTCTTTTGAGTAATGGAGCTGTATTTCCAGGTGTATAAAAAGTTGATCGAGCATTAGTGAAACAAAAAATAATATTTCTTTGAGCTGTTGGGGCAAGAAAAGAAAACAGTTGCATAAAACATGTGCGGAAAAAGACATTCAATCTTGATGCATTTGGTTTGAGAAGAAAACAAATAGCATGTAAATGTGTAAGGTTATTGATATATTGTAAAATATGTTCTATGTTCTGTTTATCTTGATCCACACCTCGTGTATCGCCAAAATCAGGCGTATCAATGATGCGCAATTTTCTTCTCCTATTCTTATCATTACTACGCTTGAGATCAAACGCATAAGATTTACAATGTTGTGTCACTGATTGGCCAACAGTGTTAAAATTTTCATTATTAAAATTATCAATTTCGCCAAATTTGACTGTACGTTCTTCAAAATTCTCACCAGTCGTCATTATAAATGATACAGGAATAACAACAATTAGTTCATTTGATTCGGCTTGTTCTAATGATTGAAATAAAAGATAATTGGCAAATGCATTGATAAAGGTTGATTTACCAACACCAGTTTCACCAAGAAGAAGAATATTAATAGTTCCATCATTTGATACTAACGATGATGCAGATAATGGCACTATTGAAGGACTCTGAGATATATTATCTAATGAGGAGATATTCTGGTTTATATGGGTTTTACTATAATCAATATTATTTGATGGTAATGCTATTATTTCATCATGTTGAAACGAATAATTAGAAATATCAACAGAAGTAAGGTTTAACGATGGATTACTTTGGCGTTTTTTAGATATTTTTCTCAAGCCAGCCAAGTTTGAAGAATTGTTCTTGTTTAATGTATCATTGGAACAGAGAAACAACTTATGTTGATCACTTTCTAACAATTTATGCTCGACCGTCTTCAAACGATTGTTTTGATCGATATTATATTCAGCTTCATTCATATAATCAAAATTTTGTTGCTTTAAATTTGTGATCGAATGTTCTTTTTTTTCCTAACTGTGTTAAAGTTTGAATTAATTGATTAAGATTGGTTTTTATTATTTGTTGAAAATTATCAAGGAGCATTTGATCGATTTCGCATGTTTTTTAGGCGCTACTGCGAAAATCAACTACTAATTTAGTCAATCGTTGAATATTTCTCATATATTCATCTTTAATGTTAGACAATTCAGTACGAGTTTTGTTAAGTTGATCGACAAGGTATGCGTCAAACAAATTTGATATATTTTCATTTAGAAATGTCTCTGCATATGTAATCGAATTCCTTAGTTCTAGTAGATTTTGTTCGATTCTGTCGTTGAGTGAAGAAGATAAAAGTCTAAATTTTTCAGCTTTTTTGCATGTAAAAGATACAAAGATTTAAAACTTGTTTCGTTTTCTTGTGAACCTAACGTTGTCACCAGTCGAATAATATAGTTTAATGGAACACAATACCATCTACCTTGCTTGATGATATCAATTTCATAGAAAACATCAACATCTGAAGTTAAATTGAGCAAAGTAGATGCATTTGAATAAGTTGTTATACGAATGATTTTTCCAAGTAAATCCTTATCATCAGAGGTAAGCCTCAACATTCTGTGTCTCTCTATCCGAACTACATCTCGCATTTTTTCAAGTAAGTTATCAATCTTCTTGATAATAACATCTTCTGTTGGCAACTGTAGAACGATAACAACATCGATTTCGAAAGTTATTCAAGTAATTATATGAGTGGCATTAAGTTCAGGATCCCATATATCGATATTGTTTAGGACACAAAGCTCAGTTTCAAGATATTCACTATTACCAAGAACCCACGAATATTATAAGAAGAGAACACAATAACCTACACGATGAGGGTAATTAAGAACATCTGCTATACCAGATCGTTTCCTTGTGTTTAACAATAAACTTAATCGAATTTCTGATTGGATACCAATGCATTTAAGAAGATTGAAATTCAAATCCACAGTACCTTTTATAAGTTCGAATTTACTTAGTTCAAATGACTGTACCCATTGATATCGACATTTTGCGTCGATTTCACCAATTAGAATATCTCGAATACCATCATAGAGAGAGCCAAGACGTCCAGTTGGGTTAATAGCTGTGCGCTCGATGACACCAGATAATTGTTTCGTTGATTTTTTCTCAGGTAATTTTGCCATATTCTTCAACTTCTCCGATGAAGATTTCTAAAAATATCATCGGTATAAATAAAGGTTGTTAGCTAAGTTCTGATTCCCTTATTAATTTTTCTTTTTTCACGTCATTGTTTGATTTGGAACGCTGATATTTACAGTACATATTCATGATATGAAGACCTATTATGTACCAAAATGTGGGCTTTATACTCTTTATTAATATTGCATTCCAAATGTCAGAAAAAAAAATGCGAAAACCTCGGATTTAAATCCGAGTGTTATGTGTACTTCAAAAAGTGAAAAGATATATTCACTGTGTTTTTTATCAGTAAATTGCAAGGAGAAAACACAGGCGTGCTAAGTTAGCATGGACCACGCTGTATGCGACCCTATCCGGTGACCACTGACTCTACTCTCAGAGTTATATTATATCTTTAGAAATCACAGGAATTGAGTTCAGATGCGTGTTTAGCTTGGAAAACTGGGTGAGAAGAGTTATTTTTGAGTGGATTTGCGTTTGTATGTAGCGGGATTACGATCGTAAGCAAACTCATCAATCTATAAGAGATATATCATAGATACAGGCATCACTATTTTCCTAATAAATCACAAATATTAATAGCTATCGAGTTAGAGTGTTTACCTTTCGATAGTCCTTTTGACTAACTACAAAATCAAGTATTTGGGAAACCCCAAAACTACTGGTCATCTGAGACACATCTAGGCAATTTGGTTTCTGGCTGTAGTTTTTGTGCATTTTGAGACCTTTTTCAGGCGATGTTTTGTTAGAAAGCTACTATTTGGTTCAAAACTAATATCAGATTCGGAATCAGCGTTAAAAACTGAGTCGATTTATGTGTTGTGAATAATTCTGAGAAAATTTTTTTTTGAAAAAATCCCTGTACCCCCCCCCCNTTACATAAACTGTAAAGTTAAAAACCATTGTATTAATAATGACATTATGAAAACGTATTATCTAAATTAAAATTACAAGTTGAAAATATAATTTTTTATTTCAAACTAATATGTAGAGATGAACAAAAATACCAAAAACAATTAAAGATGCACGTGTATGAAACTTATTAGCACGTTTATATTAGTTTTATTGATGATCAATTCGATAGTGAACTTATTAATTTGTGGCACTGTTGTATCATAATTGGACACTAATGATAAACTGTTTATTTTTCAAGCTCATGTCTTGATGACGTCTATCAGTGTAAAATTTCATTATTAAAACGAGTTTTTATTCAACTGCTGGCACATAATGCTCTAACATACAGAGAAAATAATTTGATAAATCATTTTTATATTTAAATATTTTAGTGTTTAAGTAGTCTTTGTCCTTTTTTGAACGTACAACAAGCGGTTGTTGAAATTGCATCTAACTATTTTAGAGTATTTATTCGCGCATAATTCAGCAGTCACATTTGATTAGGAAACATTTATTTTCAAATAAATTTACGATTTTCTCAGCATAGAAAATGTTACAGGCAAAACTACTATTATTCTGACATTAATGAAGATGCCGATAAATGGAGATGCCTTATAGATCACAAACTTTGACACAGATAGAGTTCGTTTTCTGTGGATTCAGTTTTTTTTTGTACGATTATTAATTATTATCTAATAATCTCCTTATTTTCGAAGCATAATTTTACTTTTCATGTTTTTGGTGTTTGTTCAATTACATTTTTTGGTTGTAACTTTAACTTGAATAATATTTTTTCATAATATCTCATTGTCAATAAATTGACTTTTCACTATTTAGTTTATATAGAGTAACTTCGGCACAACATATATCTGATGGACAAGAGAATATTTCTTTGTTTCAGAGGACTTTTCTGTTCTGTTAAGGATTTTTTTTCATATGAGCTGATCTATTGAGATGTAAACCAGAGCTTTCAATAAATTTTCATCAAATGAACAAACCTATAATATTAATGTTACAGACAAAATTAAACTTAGACAAAATCTGTCTTTAATTGGGCGCAAAACTATGTGATAATTTTTTTTATTTTAAAAAATAGATTGTAACTTTCGTTTGCATTACGAAAACACAGCATCTACGTGCTTTTTTCACTAGATAGACAGGAATGCACCAAATACAGGGGACTGGGTACTACTCAGCTCTGTTGGATACTAGGAAATTGACCTAGAGTTGATTTGATAGTCAGTATTTTTGTTTTCGACCAAAGATTATTGAGATACAGGAATCTGAATCTACAATATGTTTCTCAAAGGTGTATACTTGATTTTCTTCACAAAAGAAAGGGTGTTTTAAGAAAATAACGATTTATTAAACAAAGTTTGAACTAAGGTTTTCAGGATCCAGGAATTCAAATTTGTAATCAGTTTTTTGAAAATTTTGAGGTTGACATTTTTTTTTTACTAGAAAAAGAATTTCTTAGCAAAAAAATCTGTTTTTTTTCTGGAAAACATACTTTTAGTGAAAAACATTTTTTGAAACAAAAAAGAATAACTTTTTCAATTAAAAAAAAAACATGTATTTTAGGGGAAAAAAGCGATCTTTTTAGCTAAAAAGGTTTTTTCAGCAAAAACAAGCAAACTCAAAACTTTAAGAAAATGATTACAAATTTAGATTTTTGAATCCCAAAAATCTTTGGTCGAACTTTATAAAAAAAACATTTCCTTGGTAAAAACAAAAAAACCAAGTACCCAACTTCGAGAAACTAATTGCACATTCGAATTCCTCGATTCGGAAAATCTTTAGTCAAAAAGAAAAATACTGCTTATCGAATTAACTCTAGGTCAGTTTACTAGATATTTGGCAGAGGTGAGTACCACCCAGTCGAACTAGGACTAGTGCATACCTGTAGACAGAATATGCAATCTGGTTTGTGCATGCTGTCATAACTTCAAAATGGAACATTGACGAACTCTACAACTTCTTAGATTCAACTAGCTTTAAATTAAAGTTGCACATAGCTTAATAAAGATATATAAGATCAATTCTTTATTTTCATCATTTTCGAGTTTTGTTTTAATTTCAAAATCTTTTAAAAAGCATATTCTTACTTTCAACGCGCTTCTCTGTTCCGTAAAAAGTTTTTCTTCTCATATGAGCTGATCTATTGAGATTAATATAAGAGAACTTTGAATAAATTTTGATCAAATATACATATCTATTAGATACATATGATGGACAAGAGGATATTTCTTTTTTTTTCAATGGCCTTTTTCTATTCCCTTAAAAATTCATTATATATAGACTTAAAAACGGACATTTAGCTTTTATTAGCGAACTTTTCTGTTTTTTGAAAATATATTTCCCTTGGATTGGATTATGTCTTTATATAGATGAATTATGATCTATAGAATCTGAAGACATATAGTTTTTCAGATGCATCTCCATAGATTTTTTTTCTTCTCTTTTTTAAGCATGCAGGAAAGTCCAATTACGAAGAATAATGATAATTCATTGAAAACAGAAATGTCTTTCTAGTTAGAGAAAAATGACACATGAACATAGTAAAATGCACCTTAAGTCAACTAAGTAAAAAAGAAAAATTCACTGAGAAATGGAAGTGTGAGATATATTATCAGAATGCGATAGAAATTTGGTGAACTTTTGACTGACTACTAAAGTCTTTGTGTTTTGTAACGGACATCAAGTGAAGTGGACAGTTTTAGGATCTTTCACTGCTCTCGTTGAGTGTCGATTAATGTGTTCGTGAACACTAAAACAAAGAGTCATACCGATTTATTTTTTGGTGCCAACATCAACTCTATTGTTGAGATAAAAAATGACTAATATGATTTCATTATTATTATCACAAACATATCTACTTGCGTAGTTTGTAAGATGATCACAATATTTTTCCTCTCAATTGTTCTATCGTTCTCTACATGGAGAAATCGAACACCATATTCATAGTACGATATCTTTATTGTCTTCGCACATCGAACACCATAGCATCACAGTAATGCGAAACAGAAAGAAAAATTAATCGCAAACCAATGACGTCGATTGTAAAAAATGTTCGCCATCTAACCATAAAGAAATCTCAAGTACCATTGTCAGTATATTCAATGTTAAGTTATCAATTTCGTGAAAGCAGATGTTATCTATTTAGCGACGGCAGTCTCCATTATGGAGCAATCAGCATCAAAGAATGCATGAAGCTCCATTAAAAAATTTTTTTTTTCAATGGATTTCTTACAGTCAACAAGGCACCATCTTATTTTATTAAATTTTTATATTTATATGGATTTCTATCTGGACAGTGAATAAATAATCGAATACATTAGTGTGGGTGTGCGTGTCCATCTTCAACTTTCGTCCACCCTCACACCCACATCCACACCAACCCCCCGCACTTGACCTGATCCTTTTCTAACAAGGGAAGATGAGTGAATTTGACATTGATTTAACAACTGTTAAATGTGTTCCAAATGAAGAAGTGTATTTTTTGGAATTAAATCTATGGGATTAATTTGAAAAGTCCAGTGCAAATATTCTAATGCGCTCGAATCAACATACATGTGACAATCATACTCTTTAAATAGAAATTCCGCTTTTTAAACAGCCATCGTGGTTCTTTTTAGTTGCGTGCCTCACTTTGATTTTTATTGTCAATAACAATTAATTTCAACATAGATTTTACATAAAGTTTTTCATCATTTTATTTTGAGTGAAAAAGCTTGTAGAAATGTATGCGATGCCTTATACAATGCTATTTTCAAAGCGTAGGAAATATTATTTCATCTGAATATTTCCATATAGATCTTACCGTATGATAATATGATCTTTTTCAAGAGCAAATACAACTCTAAGGAGCTACCAACCAAAAATAGTTCTTAAAATTAACTCGGACTTGGTTTCGTTAGCTTTTAACGGTAACAAATCTTAGAGATAAATGTGAAAAAAATGTGTATATGATGATCAGTAGCATTAGCAATAGAATACAAAATGAAAAGACAAATCGAAAAACAAAATACCCTAGTCTCAATTTTTTTCATTCCTTGAGGAACCCTGAAAGGATCTTTTAGGATCTTGAATC